GATTTGTTGGCTGTAGAAATTGATCCGTAGTTCAGTTGCAAAGACGGCTCTCCTCAGTGATCTGCATAAGCGATTCTTCAGGGTCTCAGCTGCGGTATCATCTTTAAATTCAACGTTCAAAAATAGCAGTTTCTCCGACACCGTCTGGGTTCTTTCAGGCTTTTGCTTTATCTTTATGCTCTTCTTGATAAATGTTGAAGGATATCCACTTCCCATGAGGACTTGTCTGAGTCGCTACAGTTCCCCGTCGATTGTATCACTGGAACAAATCCTTCTTATCCTTGAGGATAAGGACTGTATTAGGTTTCTCTTTCTTTTTAAAGGGACCCAGCTATGAAAATTCGTATATTGGCCATTCCATTTTGGTTTCCTGTAGATCGATCTTTGAAGAGAACCATCATATATCTTTTTTTAGAAAAATCACCAAAAAAATGGAATTTCGAGTTCATCTCTGATTCCGACGTGAATTGGATGGCATAATGACAGCTGCTGAACTCCTTAGTTATCATTCTCACCATACATGATGAAAGTATCATCCATGTATCTTTGATACATATGGAAACTACCAGTAACAAGTCGTAACATACTATTCTCCAAACTTGCTAAGAAGCAGTCTTCAAGTAAAGGACCCAATAGCCACCCCACTGCCACTCCATCTCTTTGTCTATAGAGCGTGCTGCTAAACTTGAAGTGGACGTTAAAAGTGTACCTCAGTAGCAGTTCCTTTAAGTAGTGGATCGGAACAACCATGTCTACATTATTATCCTCAATGAATTTGCATATAAAGCAAATAGTCTCCGTGAGATGGACATTAGTGAAAAGGGACGTAACATCCATGGATATCGTCTCCTTTCCAGATACATTAGCATCACTTATTGAATCGATGAATTCAAATGAATCTTAAACACAATGCTGACAGAGATTATTTCTGATAGGTAGGAGGATGTCTGCGAGCCATTTGGCAGCAGCATGATATGGGGAATTCGTCATATTCAACATTGAACGTACTAGTAAGTTCTCCTTGTGCACTTTCGGTAGACCATGTAACCAGGGAATTACGAGGCCTGAGTGTTTTATTTACTCAAATAATTCACAGCTGATAATCGATGTGTTCTTCATCTTCTCCAGAATTTGAGATATGAATAATTTTGTGTCTAAAATTTCATCAAAGCATGCTGACGGAGATTCTATCTCAACATTTAACCGAAGTGATAAAGAGTATATACTGTCACACTCAGTAGATACAGGGCTTCAGTTACAAGCTATTACAGCCTTGAGTTTTATGCACCACATACCTAAGAAATTGTTACATACACTACGTCTATGTCTTTTACATACAACCAAAGGAATGACCAAGGTACAAAGAACAGGATTGGATGAAGTTCCTGTCATGGTATTCTGTGGACTAAATACGATTCTCAATTTTGGTAGTTTCTCCTCGCCTTTATCATCTTCAACAACTATCCCTCTGGCAATTACATTTTTCTTTGTTGTCTTTTATTTCCTATTCATCCAACATATCTGAGAGGTTTATGACTATTATTATTTACTAACAAATTCCATTTCGCATTTGAAGGAGAACACTCTAGACAATCGGATGGCGCTGCTATGGTGACACCGTTATGAACATTGTTGACTGATCCATCCATGTCTTACATTAAAAATCTGCCCAGTGATTTGACTACTACAGTGCCTTTCTATAGAAGATTAGTTGATTATATTATATGATAGTATATGATACGCATAAATCATGCAAGCTGTTTACTTGAGGGGCTTTGTACTAAATCATGTAAATCTTACTTGTGAGGAAGAAAGCTGTAACCAACTTACATTCCTAGACATACCTTTAAGGTAACGACAGGATGGCTTTTCTAAAAGCCTCAGCATTAAACTAGTGATTATGTCACATCTTAAACTACTTTATCTGTATGTGTGATTACACGCGCTTAGCAGGTGACGGTGAGACAACACATACCTAAATGACTAAAAACCAAATGGACTACGAAACCTCGTATAAAGGCAGGTGGCAGATATTTTTTTTGATATTATTTTTGATTTACAGCTTGATTCCACACTGTATTTTTGGTACAAGTATGGAATTTTCAGCATGGATATCGGTAGCCCAAATTTTGTAGGCCGACCATAGATATCAGGTGTGCGTCGGCGGGGGATCGAACCTCGGATCATGTGCATGGTCGGCGAGAGTCCTAACCACTGTGCCACCGACGCACCATATTTTGTAAATGACTTCAACCCAACAGGTTTCCAGCAAACACAATCTTTCAATATGACATCATTTCATAGTTGCTCCGCAATCGTACTATAGCTCACATGACTGACAGTAGCAAAATGTCTGACAATTAATCAGTTGTATGAAAATGTCATGTTAATAGTCAATCCTATTTTGACATGTCAGCGTAGGCAAAGTTTAAAATTTACTATTTGACGATGGATGATGCTGGATTAAATGCTTTCGAATTTTTTGTTCGTCGATAATTATGTTGGAACATGTTCTCTCGGATGACAATGAAACATTTTATTGTTTCTAAATGTAGTTTTGTCTCCGCAGTCGCGTGTGAACTTATAGATAGTGTGATTTGGAGTTGAGAGAATTTCATCTTCTAATCACTGAATTCCTCATTCAAATATTATTGCTGTTGATACATGACAACTTGGAGCTAATATGATTTTGAATTCATAAATGTAGTCAAAGTTAAAATACACTGACAACATACGTGGCTATTATTATAATGATTTCAGATTTTATTGTATAACTGTAAGAAACTAAAAATAATTTATTGGGTAGAATATTTTTCCTTCAGACAAACCTTTAATAACCATAGTAACAGGATTATTTCGCTCATTTAAGCCAAGGTGCATTGTAAATGGTTCTTCTAGCGGCTCAACTCTCTCGGTGAAAGCTTCAGGTGTCGAACAGAGATTAGCATGAAACGTGGTTGAGCAAACTTACCTCAATGTTTTGGCTTTACATTCACAATAAGACACATCATCTTTGTTGAAAGTTCCTCCAAGTATAATGATTGACTCCTTTTGATGTTATATATTAGCTGTCAACCACCAATATGAATATCTGATAGTCCTTGAAAGAAGGAATTGGGTGGTAATTAAAAGTCAATCAGCAAGGAGTGAGTGTTTAATACACATTTCTCAACATCCTTACATATACATTTGAATTCACTTTTCTTGTAGTCAAGCATAACACGTTCCATTTCAAATCAAAAGACATAAGTAAATACTGATCAACACAATTGAAAAATTAGTGTAATGTGACAGTCAGAAACTTATCCGTACAACTGATTCCAGGGGTTAGCCTTGATTGTTGAGAGATTTTCACACACCCATGTAAAAACAGTAGAGCTTTTGTCAGACCTTATTCCACGTTTTTAAGTAAGGTGACAGGCTGGAATAAAGCAATGCATCAAACTGATGAATATGCACGAAAGGGTTTCACAGTTTGCCTTCTTACACCCATAGGCTAGTGATACTTTCCTACTGTCAATAAAACATAAATATTAATCTGGACAGTTCAAATAAAAATCCCAAATGTATGTTTCTGGACGATTTAATTCATTATTTTTGAAAGCAAAATGAAGTTTAAAATATGAAAGTTTTCTTTCAAAACCTATTAAGGAAAACAATTTGCTCATTGTTAACATAAGTTATGCGTTGCCAATCAGTCTTAATTCCACCAGTCAGTGTATTTGAAAAAGCCTCCTAGACTTTGATATAGGAATAAAACTTGTGCACTGTGGTAGAGTGTAATTCCATTAAATGGAAATTTTTGTTTTGATAAAGTCTCACAGTGTTATACAGTAATGTGAGACTTTATCAAAACAAAAATTTACCTCCTAGACTTTCTTTTACAGAAATAAAAGTGTTACCGTTTAACTTGTAAAAAACATTGAATCTTGTTGCTGAATGAATTTTAAAAGATTTTGTATTTTATACTATCCAAAAAGTGAACAATTAACTCCCAAGCGAAAATACTTGGATTACTATAATCTAACTTTGAAATTATATGCAAGTAACAAAAGACAGTTATCACTTTCTTACTTTTGAAGTGTACAAATATAGATTATTTAATCGAATTAAAATTAGCCAATCATAAAGATTTTCAGAAAACTCTTTAAGCCTTTTTTTTTCTTCTCCTACTTCTTTTCTGTCTCTCTTGTCGCATACAACAAAATGACATTCAACTGGGCATATGATGAACATTAGCAGTATTAGTAGTAGTAGTTTAGTGATAGTAGATCAGAATGCTTAAAGATTTTCATGCATAGAGAAAAGGAGAAGAGCAAACAAAATACTTTCATCATAATTAAATGAATGAACAAAACCTGATTAGGTAATAGAGTGAAGATGAAAAAATAAAACATATTGAAAGATGATGTATTATGAATTAGATAACCATAATATTTGAAACATTAATAGTTATACAGTGAGAGTATGAACGAGAAAACCTCAGCTAGTTGTTACGCAACTGCCTACACGAAGAAATAAGATTTAAAAGTTACATTTTTTGTCTCAAGAAAATGTTTGAAAAATGACTTTTCAAAAAAGGAAAAAAAATTCACTTTACAATTTTGAAGTTTCCTTTTTGTATCAAAATCACAAAACTTGCTGAAACGGTACACTGTTGTATACAAGTATGAAATCTTAAACTAAATTAGAGTTAGAAAGTTACAGTGAAAACTGGCAATTAAAAACTTTAAAAAATATTATACATATTTTGTTATAAAAGGGATGAAGATTTTAAATATGCCTGAGATTTTCGAATAGGTTTCTTTAAGCAAATAGTTTTTGCGGCTGTAAGTAGTGAGTGAATGTATATGAGAGCAAGTGAAATAAGAAGAAACAAATTCAGCTGAATCACACAAGAAGCAGAAATCGTGAGTGCGAATAAATTGAAATGGAGATGACTGATTAATGAATACCGATGACAGTATAAAAGAGTGGAACAGCTCATGAACAGAATTCCACTAAGCCTCATCGTTTTCGGTAAGAATATCCCGGTCAGTATCACCTTTGGTCTGAAGTTTATTGTGGCCATACGATTACAAATATATGCAAAAACATAAAAAGAGGTAAAGTAAATAGCTCGCAGTTCAGTGGCTAATAGGAATACTTAGGAATAGTAATATAAAAAGCAATGAATAAAACGCTTTTCTGACAAATTTCTCAACATTTCTATTTCTCACGATGCGAACTTAGAAAGGCCACTTGGCTTTTATTTCCAGCAAAAATATCCATATAATAGATACTATAGTAACTTTGCCCAGTGTAGTAGCCGGTCTTAAACCCGGGAAAAAAAGGAAGGTTAAAGTACGCCTAGAGATCTCACCCCAAAAATTAGCGCAAGTGCTGCAGAAACTTCAAATCGCATGAAAAATATAAAAATATATATTTCTCGTGAACTGCTCAAAGGGAATGTTGTGAGCTAGTGAAAGCATTTCGGCTGCAAGTTGGCCGGTGTGTCTTCTTTCAATGGAAGTAAGAGAAAGCATCGGGGTGTGGGAAGTTCGTAAAATAGGCGCAGCTATGAAGGCTGCTCAGACCTCGAAAAATGAGAAGATATGGCATGGAAGTCCCAATAATCTGGATGTGGAAACCCGACATTATTAACTGCAGAGTCAATGATCTACTCCGGTCAGTAAGATACAATTCAAAAGGAAGGAAAGTAATAGTTACGTAATGTAACGTTCCTAAAAACGACACGCATCAAAAGGGGAAAGAAGAATTCTGCAGACAACAGCGAGCAATAATCGATAAGTTCCCGAATGGCGACATCAAATTTCTTTTATCTCGTCATCAGCCTCATTCAACAGCCACATTACACTAGCACGTGTCGAATGATCCATAAAGGAAAATTCATCGAGGCATTCTAAGTGAATTCAGGAGTAAGACGAGACTGCCTTTTATCACCAATGATATTCCTAATTGTAGTAGACTGGACTATGCATCAGACTGTGTGTTGGTAGTGAGAAGTTATGAGCACGTTGGATTGACCGTTAAGAAGATCCTAGAAGGTCTGGATTCCACGTATGAATTATTCATGTCTAATGTCACATAAATTCGGAGACATACAGACGAAAACCAACAAACTAGCAGAGAAAGAAGAGGAGACAAGACTGCCGGCGAACATAGAGAAGACAGAGGTGATGAAGATTACCAACCTACAGAAACAGAAACAGCAACAACAACAACAACCAGCACCAATCAACAACAACGGGATAGGTTTAAATAGGTTACTTCCTTCACTTATCTAGGAAGCATTGTTTCAACCACAGGTGATAACATGGATGAAGATGTCAACGCTAGCCAGAATCTGAAAGGCAAGGAAGACATTCGTCACTCTGAAATCAGCTTTGCAATCTTCTGCACTCAGCCTGAAGGACAAGATTCGGATTTTCAGCACCAGTGTTAAGTCAGTCAGTTCTTTTATGTTGGTTGGAAGGTTGGCACGTCATGAAAAGTATTTCTCAAAGACGACTGCAGTTGTTTGTTAATAGCTATCCTCGCTTACTCTATGGTGGTGAAGATCAGATGGCTGGTCAGAAAGAGTCAGCCAAAAGAAACTCTGGAAACGAACCTTTCAACATATTTTTGGCCTGCAAATATTCTGACAAAAATGGAAATGTATTGGACACACGTTTATAAGACTTTTCGGCGACACTGCACACTGGACATAACCTTGAGTCGAACGCAAGTGGGCGTCAGACAGCGACATGGAGGAGATTGTGTAAAGGCGGAGATGAAAGCCTATGCGCAAGCGTTGGGCCAGATGAGAAGCACTGCAGAGAACAGGATAAAATGGAGACGTGCTGTCTAGGCCTTATGTTCTACCCGGGTCCCAAGGGAATAATAATATAAATAATTACATTGATAACTTTGGATTTTAATTTTGCTAGAATACTGTCAGGCTATCTGTTTGGAATTGTTATAACAAATAGGAGTGCAGTAACTGTTTTATTCTTTTGGTTCAGTTTCTTCAATAATTCATTTGTTTAGTCGCTAACGTTTTCCCTCAATTTCTAGATTGACGTGAATGACGGGGGCATAGAGATAAATTTCAGACAGAAAAGAAACCCAGGGTTTATTATGTGAATCTCGAGGTGTGCGTGCGTTTGTGTGTGCGTGTGTGTAAGTACGTGACTGAAAGTGAACAGCATTTTGCCTGCATGCAGGCTATAAAAAATCAATACATTTCTGACTCTTTTGGCTGATATACTATTTTTGGACCAGTCTGATGATGCAGACGAATGAATGAGCAAGCAAACAAATAGTCGAGAGAAATGAAAAGTAAGTACAATGTTATTTGTTTTTTATGACTTGACAATTATTGAACTATTATGAATTTGCATTAAACGGCAGTGTATACTAAAATAGCTTTAACTCAGTTAAACCCACAAACACTAACACTTCATACAGCTATTGTCTAGTATTAACATGATTTGCAATAAAAAGTGGAGATTTACTGAGCTCTTAGTGTATCATGCTTACTGCTTATTTTGAAGGGAATAATAGTGGAACAGCTATTTATGTCTCTCTTATTCCAGATAGAATAAAGTACTTATCTATACAAAAGAACATCAAATGTAACCATAAACCCACCTTGAATATAATAGGTGGAAGATTAACCTTTGGCAGCCCTTTAAAACCGGCTTGTGCAAAATGTTCACCTTGAAGAAATTCATTCGGTTCTAAAACAACGCCACTTGAATTTGTATAACTTGGTGATGATTTTATGTGTACACCACCCATTTTGTTGTAATTTTCATCCGTGTAATAAATATTTCCACCACTAATATCCACTTCATTATCATCTAATGCACAACTAGTCACCTGATTCTTTCCGGATGTACTCTGCACAAGTTTCATGTACTTGTATTCGAGCCTGAAAACGGAAGAATATGAAAAAAACATTAAGTCGTATAACGGAAACTGATTTCAATTAAATCTCAGAAGATTCTTCATTTAATTTTACATAATGAATTTATAACCCAGGTCTGTGAGTTTTAAAGTGTTTTAACTTAGACCTTACTGTTGGAAAATGTAATTTCTATGTGTTACATTAATCACAAGTCTTCTAAGCCACATAAAGAAACCTAAAATGGTGGCAATTACTTGGATCAAGATAAAAATTGTACCTGTACCAAGATCTTTATTTTCTGGGTCAGGGTAAACTCAGGGCGAATCGCGACCCCCTCACCTACAGAAAAATTACTTTTTACTTGTTCGTGAACACTTGTTAAAATCTTCTAGCTATCATAAACAATTTTATCGTCAAACGCAGAAGTACTTCAGATGCTACCACTGTAGTACTGTATTGTATTGTTTCCAACTTGGCTAAAGGTGCGGATTCTGTCCGATCTAACTTCTTAAACAATATCGCTGTTTCTGATCCTACTTCTAGACAAATTCTGTTAAGCACTGTGACTTCAGAATCCACTGAGCCCTTGTCTCATGGTGGTTTTCTTATTTTTTGGGCTGGAATCAGGATACTGGCTTTAACTGAGAACCCTGCACTTCACTGCTTACTCATACTGTTGTTCTTCAGGGTAATATCCGTTTTCCACTTACTTTTATTTATTTCACCATGGCATACTATTTTCCTTAAATATGCTGACGGATCGATAATCTTTATCCTATTAGTTAATGCATTAAACCTTTTTTATAAGAACAATTTCCTATCTGAAGGTTACCAGTGGTTTTTTTAAAGTTTTAAACTTGAACCCTGTAAAATGGGTACTGTTACTTTTAGTTTCAGGCATTAACAAGACTTAATCCACCGTTTCGTTCTCATTATTCCTGCAATACTGACGGTACTATTGTAGAAAATCAACTAAATATTACTCATTTAGGTTTTAGATTTTCTTCTAATTTTTATTGGTCGTCCTTTACCCTGATGATTTCAGAAAAATCCTATCTTTGACCAACTATATCAGAAAGCTGAGACTTTCTGGTATAACCAAGACTCTTCTTCTAAAATGCATTAGTTTATTTATTTATCCCATTATTTTTCACTTTTCCTTCTTATACAATGGTGTGATACCGGTGTGATACCCATATCATTTGAAGATTAAAGGATTGTAAGTAGGGTGGTGATTAGTGTGCCTTCAACCCAGCTAACTGACATTGTTGTAAACAAGCATTTTAGTTCATGCAAGCCGTTGGCTGACGTTACCATTCAAGATGGTAAACTTCTCCTTTATTGATAACTTTCTTCCTGCTTCTCTTCAGAAAAAATTAGAAGCGGTTCCATTAGAATTTATGCTCACACAGGTAAATATAAAAATTCAACGATAATTTATATAGCATCGACTTTGTGCGTGGAGACGTATTTCAGGGAAAAGTCCCAAATTTTAATCTGCAAACTAAACAGTTACTTATTTCTAGCAATATTACCCACATTAACATTCTTTAAGTTCAATTTTTGTGGTTAGATATTTCGGTTGTAAATATTTAAAAGAAGTCAGCTTATGGTGATATGTACAGGCTGAAAATTCTATTTCTATGTGTATTGAACATGGGCACTGTGGTAGTAAGAAATTCCATATTTGTTTATTAGATATATCACACAGTGAAACAGTACTATTTACTGGATTTATTTTTTTGTATTTTATTTTTGATTACAACTTGATTTTCGCACCGTATTTTTGGTACAAGTATGGAATTTTCAGCATGGATATCGGTAGCCCAAATTTTGTAGGCCGACCATAGATATCAGGTGTGCGTCGGCGGGGTATTGAACCTCGGACCATGTGCATGGTCGGCGAGAGTCCTAACCACTGTGCCACCGACGATGAAGTTTCGAAAAAAATTTATTATTCATAATCATATCAATTGTAATCACACGACTTTGAAACTTGAGTTTTATAGTTTTTTTTTTCTCCTATTTGTCGTAGGGGTAGTAGAATTTTCCAGATATCAGGGACAGGTGATGAATCATTCCTATTACATGTATTTGCAGATGATTCGATAAACAAAACTTCTGTTATCAATCTCTCCCTATACCCTGTGACATTAAATTTTAAAACTGTCATCCTATTACTAGTAATGACAACACCAACAATAAAGAATGTAAATCATCAACAGTAATTCCATACAAGGAAGGAACCTCGGAAGCCTTATGCAGAATTCTTAACAAGGCAGGAATAAAAGTGGCTGGCATTCAATCTGCCCACAAACTCAATTAGAAACAAGCTTTGTCGGTTAAAGGATCCTGTGGAGCCTTTAAAACAAAACAATTTATTTTATCTAATACCCTGCAATGATTGTCACGTCAAATACATAGGTCAAAGTAGAAGAATAGAGGCAGTCAGACTATCCGAGTAAAAAATCCTAGCAAACTTTAGATTAGTTAACCCAGTAGATAAGAAATCTAGAGAATAGTTCAGCTACAGCACTACATGCAATTGCACACACAACCATACAATACTATGGGATGGAATAAGATGACAATTTTAAAATCTAATGTCACAGGGTATAGGGAGAGATTGATAACAGAAGTTTTGTTTATCGAATCATCTGCAAATACATGTAATAGGAATGATTCATCACCTGTCCCTGATATCTGGAAAATTCTACTACCCCTACGACAAATAGGAGAAAACAAAAAAAAACTATAAAACTCAAGTTTCAAAGTCGTGTGATTGCAATTGATATGATTATGAACAATAAATTTTTTTTCGAAACGTCATCCAGTAAATAATGCTGTTTCACTGTGTGATATATCTAATGAACAACCTAATATGGAAAATTCTATTTCGTATATTATTCCTTGAAGAAAAATTTGTCATTATTATTATTCTTTTCAAAAAATTGCTGTCACGATCTGTATTACTTGATGTAAGAACAGTTAATAATCATCTGCAATTCTTAAAATGTTTCTTATTAATAAATTACGCAATAGGTCAGAATAAGCTAAAATTCTTGACCTAATCATTATGATCATTTTAATCTTAAGATTACTTAACTACAAGAAGAATTAAAGAACTAACTTATATTGTACTTTTGTAATAATTTAAAAGTAATTCCTTACCAAAAAATACATTGTGTAACTGCACTGAATGAGCAAATGGGTAGAAGAAATAATATACACATGGAAAATTGTCCTAACAAGGACAGAAACTTATAGGAAACAAAAAAGACCATTTTCTCATTTGTCCAAACTCATGTTTTAAATTTCCCGTTATCAGAAATTTTTAATTCATTTCTTGATTAATGTGATGACACAGCTGTAAAATGATATGCTTTAAATGAATTGTTCTTATTTCATGTTACTCCTACAGTACGACTCAGTCATCCATATTAAAAAATGAATGTGAAAACACGATTTTTGGGACTACAAACGGATAATATAAATTTCTAATCATTTTGGAAGTGTTATTATTCATGGGAAAGATCAAGGCTGCCAGGAAAATTGAAAGGCACACAGACACCGAGTATTCAGTGTCACTAAGCTAATGCATACATTTCAAGAAGCTTGTTTCTATGATTCATTATGTGTATACTGTAGCCTGAAATCAGCATTACAGGTGGATTGCATTAAAACTGACATGCTTCATTTGAACGCAAAAATTGATAAAACATCGTTTCGATTCACTGACAAGCCAAAGTATTAGCACTTGAGATACACAGGGAAATTTAATTAGTCTTTAAATAATTATAAATGATAAGAAAATAGGTGGTTAGAACTTTTCTCATGATACTTTTTTGGATTTCTAACCATCATTACACGACTACGTGACGTCTTTTAATAAACTTCTTATTTATTCCCAGTTGACTTAACATATGACTTCTGTCATTCCACATATTTTTCAATATGCAAATATTTGGAAGGAGATTTCAGAGGACACTACTGTTTAAGTAGAGTACGCTCGTTAAATTTAGCTTCTGAAAACTGTTCAGCTAAAGGGCAGTTTTGTTCATTCCAAATGTTTAAGTACAAAAATTCCGTAGTAAGCGTAAAATAAGTCAGTCGTTATTTTCTGATAAAGGACTCTGATCACAGTGAAAGTGATAATTTGCAGTTATCATTTTTAGTGTTATAATAGTTGAACTACGAAACTGTGATTGTTCTAATAAACAATAGCTTCTTAATATATGTGTGAAATTTGGGCACTGTGGCAGTAAGTAATTCCATATCAGGTTGTTTATTAGATATATCACACAGTGAAACAGTAATATTTGTTGGAAGTCATGTGATTACAATTGAGATGATTATGAACGATAAACTGTATTCAAAACGTCATCCAATAAATAATACTGTTTCACTGTGTGATGTATCTGATAAACAATCTAAAATGAGACAACAGCTTCAACGTTAACTTCAGAATGAAGCGAGATCACAGAATTCTACATCAGTGAAATAAACTTTTCTGATGAATGTGATTGGTTGTATTTTCATTTCTTCGTTTCCATTTCGTCAACCTACTGCATGACATATCTAGTATATGAACTGATATTTTATTATTTATTATTCTTTTCTTGTGTTTAAAATGTAACGTAGGGTTCCACTAGCACATCTCCATTGTACTGGATCAATGAATATTTTTCATTTTATTTCGGAAAATCGCTTGGCAGTTTGAGAGAATTACCCCATGACCTTGTTAGACATTTTAGTTTTTTGTAGAGTTCTTTGGGTGTGTTGTTAGCAAGGTGCTTCTGAATGATGTTCGGTTGAAGTGAGAAATCTTTTTGATTCAATTTAAGCTTGTTCAGGAAACTGTGGCGAAACGAACGCGTTGTTCAACAGTGACTTCACTTAAGGGGACTTCTACCTTTTGCAGATATTATTTTATCTAAGCAACTCCTCTGAATGTTTGACGCTATCTGCCTTGTTCTTCAGTACAGAACTAAATATTATGAACTTTAGCTCAACAACTTAAGGTATCTTGTTGTTTTTCTTCACCAAATCTTGACAACTTTAGTGATAATTCTAAGACAAAAATAAGTTTACTTTGAGAAATCAACAGTGCAGTATTCCACTTTTTTTAGAAACTTATTTCATTCTTGAAAATAGCTGACTTCATAACTTAACCATTTAATCCTCATTTTGTTGCCTTGCAGTCAAGTTTACTTTCTGATTAAATCATACTGCGTTGTACTGTACAAATTAGCTGTGTCGGTAATTCTTTTAGAGAATTCGATGATTTCAAAGTGTTTTTGACCACATATTAAAATCTCTTGGAGTTGTAGTAGGATAAAAAGATCAGTAAAGTGGCTGCAATTGTTTGAGAACCCCAATTCTTACTAATGAAACTGGGTTACAAATTAACTTAAGTTTAAACACTGATGCTGAAATATCCGAGTGACTGTGGCATTACTGCCATACTATGTTGAAGATTGTCAAACTAAAAAAGACAGTTGGTAAATGCATTTCAGATTTTGGTAATTGTAGAGATTCAGCAGAATGTAATAAATTAGCTTTTGTACCATTACGTTGTCATCCGTTTACTGTTTTCAGTTTATTTTTAGCAGAAATCAGTATTGAGAAGGTGCTTTTTGAAATCCGAAAGGCTTCAAATTAAAACTGCATTATCTCAGGGGGTTGCAGAAGTAATTATAATAAGAACAACTTACGTCTTATTTCGGCGATAGCATACAAAAATAATCAGTCCCAAGATAACCAGGACAAAAGTAGTTAGAAAGATAGCCGCAATTTGAGCCTTACTCAGTATTGGACACGTTTCAATAACAGTGAGATTTCTGCCAGGTTCAATTCGACACTCCCTGACGTTAAGTAAAAAGCAGTTAAATGTATTGTACACATATTTATATGAAACTTATCTGCATATGTATATATAAACAACTTCAAGTAATACTTATGTGTACACTACAGTGCATTATTTCAGAATATTTAAACGTCTTTTATTTAAGAATATGAGGAAATAAATTATTTCGTTATATGTTGTTTTTTTCTAACAAATACTGCCTTAATCGTAAAAAGTCACTCGTGATTTCATTTCGTGTAATCCAGCAACATAGATTGTGATATGTCAGTTCACTTCTTAAACATCCCCTACTTTGGTATACTATCAACGTTTGATTTAAATTTTTTTAGTGAAATACTCAGGCGAATAGATGAAGCAGCAGTGAGTTCCCCCTAGGATGCTTTTACATAACCACTTTTTTACCAGGTTATCAACAGTAATCGGCAAGCTTTATTTCTATTCAAGATACATTATTGATAACTTTGTTATGTTTAATGCAAATATAAGTTTTGAAAAACTGGTGAGCATATTTGACAATCCCTACCAACAGGTCAAATGTAACCTTGCCTCAGAGTAAAACTCTGAGTTTTACTTCCCTTATATTTAACTTGGATTAAAGGATACAAGGTTAACTCCAGAAACCAACTGAAAGAAAGTTTAAATGAAATTGACAGCCTGTTAATTTGTCAATTGCAATTTCTCTGGGGGAAAAAGGAAACCAGACCCACTCAGTTATCTCAAAGATAAAAAAGTAAACACTGAGGACGGAATTGATGCAAAATTGCAGACGTTTCCGGATTCGCCACTCCAACCAAATTATTTCATATGATATTCAACAATGAAGTGTGAGAATGAATTATTTTACTAGCTTATTTGAATGTACAGTACCTTATACCTCGAGATTACTGTATTTCACTGAGGAAACAAGCTTCACTAAGATAAGGATTCGTGCTCAGGTAAGGCCTACTGTGGAGGCTAATTATTGACCTATATTCACTTAAGAACATGAAGAGTAACGTTAGGCTACATATCATAATTAACCTCTGTGCTAACGAATTAGGCTGTGATACAAACTGTATGGTTATTTATTTTATCCATGACTCATACCGAATTGGGGATACATTATGAAGAGGAAATACTCTTCATCATAGCTAAAATCAGGGTTGAAGATGTCTCTAAACTGATAAACAAAATCATATCATGAGGACAGTATACATCCTTATGTAGGAAAAGAAACCACTGTCCTAAGTAATGCGTAGGACAATCTATGCTACTAATTGAATGGTTAATCTTAAGACATCAATGAACCTTCCATACTAGGTGTATACACAGCTAGTGTCTCTCATTTAACAACACAGTGTTAAAGTATTTAGACCAGCAATTAGCGCACAAATATGAAATTATATGATAGTAGAAATTAGAATTGAAAACACTGAATACCCTCAATTATCGTGTTACACCTACCATGGAGCACGAAGATGTACTTTTCTGTAACCATATACGCATTCACCTAAGATTCTTTCATAATCATTTTCTCTACACATGCGACAAGCATACATAGTAAGCCACAAGAAGTGGTAATTACATCCATCACATGTCCCATCAGGACAGGCTGGCGGTAATTCAATTTTACCATAAATGTAGTCTGGAATATCTTGAATTTGACTCATAAATTTACCAATTTCTTGTGTGAATACACATCGGAGTGTTATCACAGACGTTCTTCCCAGGGGACAATTTGAACTATGGCTAAAGTTAAAAAAGAAATTTTTGCAATTAGTTAACTAGTATCCCGAAAAAAAATCAAATGATTTCGTGAGTTACTATTATACTGACAACTCATAAGTAAAAAGTTAAGTATTTCATGCATCTTCACTTAATGTCATTGTTTGAAAGTCTTTTTACCTGTTGGATTAGACAGCATTAGGTCATTTATGCACATCCTACCCTGTGTTACTTAGAAATAAAATTTATTGGTCAGCTTGCTTAGTATATGAGACTTAACTAATCTTCACATGAAAAGATTTCAGTATTATGGAAACAAGTAGTAGGAGAACAAACTACTTATTGTATCTTGAAGGTGTAGCGATTTGACGCTTTGAAATTTTTTTAATGTTTAGACAAATTTCATCTCCTAATGTTCCAATAAATTAATCGATAAGAATTTGACTAACCAATCAAAAGCGACTACTTACGTGAAACTGTCTTTATTGTTGACGATAACTCATAACTCCAACCAGAACATACATAAAATAATATCTAAGTATCCCATATATAAATGCTCAAAACTGCAAAGTCTGCACGTTATCAAGAAATGATAATATACTAACTATCGAGGTACACTGCCAAAATTAGCATTATTTGATTCAGTGAAAATTCACTGAATACTGACAGTTAGGAAGAAAACTTTTCACAACTCTCAAAAGTGTCAAACGTTGTGTATATCTACAGATAAACCTCAAATGTCTAATCGCATTAGCGAATTTAAATAAGGTATTCAGCCATTAACACTTTCTGTCAATCTCCAAAATTTACCTCCCTAGTGGTTTAATTGTGATATATAACTAGTCATTTTAGTCAGAAATATGGTAAGCTGTGTTTGTACTTTAACCTGATTTCGGACGGAAATGACAAGTTCAATGTGTGTTCATCCCTATGGATTAAAATAATGAGAAATAACTGAATAACAGTAATTAATATTCACTTTATGACTAGTTGCCACTATTTATATATCTATTATCTAATAGGAAATGTCCTATTTCTATAATAATTAATAACTTTCGAGTTAATTATATAAATAAAGTCAGCTTATATTTAGGAACATGCTTTTTTCGATAAAAATAGAAAATCCTGATATCCCTATCCCAACTAGAGGTGAATTCAATTACATATTGTGATATATGGTCAAGAGAATATCATTAACTCATCGTGCTCTTCATGGGAGGAAATTTCTGGGAGGATAGAAAAGACACAGTGTAAAAGGCGTAGCTCATAGGAGACTGAAGCCTCCAAGTTGTTAATCATATGACCCAGTCGTTTTTATATGTTTGCTTACTTTCATCATTCTCAAGGTGATAAAGCTATTGGCACCATTCAGTAGCGAAACGTCAGTAAAAACAATATCATTTTGTTTATCATTCATTGGAAAATACAAAAAACCTTTATTACAAGGAATTAGTGATAGGAAGCATACCATGGGAATATACTACATGATAGACAAATGCTTGAAACATTATTCAATGATAAATCTTCTGTTATTTTGGTTCTATTTAAGTTACATTATTTCACACCTCAGGTCACCAGCATCTCTAAATATTTGCTAGTGATAAATTCCTTATACATGATCAGTTATGCCAACGCACGAAGGCACATAATATCCATCTTTTGCATTTTTTAAAACATCCCTTAGATCACAGTTCATAAAATCTGATCCAGCTTCACCTAGATTCCTTTTTCATTAACAACACAGGCATAACTCTGCCTTGTTTAGCATTAATGACCACTCAAAAAAGCATGGTGATAAAAATATATGAACCGATACACAGATTCATCTCATTTGTCTTGCAATGTATAGCCTCAACACCTCTGTGGTTGACTTTCTTTAGGGAATTATTTGATGCTGATTGGGACGTGAATATAATTCGTGAGATCATGAAGTTTTTCATCATAATATTAGCTGTAAATGGTAGGGCCCCACTATGAATCACAATTCATAGGCTGAAGTGATGAAACAGGTACTACGAAAAAACTGCAGTAAATTTTCTAATAGAATTACAAACGTTGATTCAATATTACTAAGCAATCTGAGTTGGCTTCTGCAAATTCTGGAAGCTGTGCATCAATGATAGGATCCATATCTTAATTAAGTTCTCTGATGTTAAGTAACCAAGATAGCTTTCAGAAATTTTTATTTCTATATATCTCAAAATTTAGCTAAAGTAGGAATTTTCTAAATACCACCCGCCACGTAAATACAATTGCAATTTCAGTGAGGTTATTAAAACATCCGAGATATTTTACAGGCAGTAAAACTTACTCATCAGATGTAAATATGTAATGCAGATCGTTACCAGTTTCTATTATGAACGGAGAAAATGCAAAGAAATAAGAAATATGTGAGTATTAGGCTGATTCGAGTAGATAGGGAAAGGAAACAAGTAAGATTCACGAAAAAGAAACAAAATTTGACGGCTAATAGGTGTGCTTCAGAGGGGAAGATGGGGGTTTATACACAGAGGGATTGTCCTAAGTTATATGTAAATTTCCTTCAGTCATGCCTACAAATTAGATTAAAGCCACCTGGGAATTATCCAACCAGGTTGGTGATTTAATGCGCTAAAGTTTATTTCCTACAGGGTATTTTCGTGTATGTATGCCCTTTTAGGCAATATCTCATAGCAAGTACATACATGAGTTATTCGAGAACGTTTCAGTTGCCGGAGTATGTGTATGTGAATATACGTTGATGAGTTTTGGTAACCTTTATAATCTAAAATGACTGGTGTTTATGCAGGAAATCAATTTGTAGATTTAGGAAACTTTTGTTCATATAGTGAAAACATATTCCACATTGTCCTCAGATCAGTACAGATGACCGTTTTCTTGCATAGAAAGGTATGACAAAAGTAATTATACTTGATGGAAGGAGACTCTATAAAAAGAACATTTTAACATACCAAAGGCTACGTTTCACATGTTTAAAACCGAAATTGGAAGAGCACTTCATTTCTGATGAATAGAAGCCAGTGACAGTATGGGCGCGCAGTACTCATATATTCTATGTAGGTCAATTACTAATAAATGATGTAACAGTTATAAATGCAAGAATCTCATTACTTGTGTAAGTGAATCTTGACGAACATCAAAGTTTGGTCTGCATTAATGCTAGAATTTTCTTACCTGCTAGACAGAATTTCTGGTATCTTCACGTTTTTCTGGAAAAAATAATTTAGTTTTGAAATTCCTATTATCATTCGACACTACCTTACAAAACAGTAAGCCTTTTCATTTCTGTCACTGAAAATAACATTTAACTCTTCACAGTTGAAATATGTATCCGGCAGAACTCTTGAACAGCTGGATTACAACTGTGTCTTTTTATTAGGACTTTCACTTCCTAGAATGCTGACTAGAATTGAGAAAAACTGGTCTTACACAGAATCCACACCGGTGACTTAAAGGACATCAATCCACCGCTCGACTGACTGATCTAAACATGTTTCAGCGTAATGTTAAGAAGTGACAAATAGTCATTCACTCTTTATATGTGAACAGCTACTTAAAAGTGCTTTCAAGTGTCATGTACAACCGAAGCATGATGGATGTGAAATTCGCTCATCATTTAGTACGCTTTTGAAATCCTTCCTAAGCACACAGATTTTCCAGTAGAGTGAAAATGAAACACTGGAAATAAAACTTAGGAACCAATCGGCAAGCAGCTGAGCCGAACTAGTTACCTGCAGACCGAGCATTTCTTTACAATAACACCAAATAACGAGGACTTCAAAAGCGATAGCGATAGATAATAACTAACACCCGTGGCTATCACGACTCACTAGCCTAGCAGATCACACGTTGACGTTCTGAACGCTGTGTTGGGTTCTAGTCCCATTGGTAAGATCATCATTCACAAAGGTACAGGTACAAACAGATGCTGAGTGTTGAACAGGACGAAAGGCGCGTCCAGACTTCACTGTTAGCCACCTTCGACCAAGTGGCATCATAGTTACATGGTGTTTTACAAGAAGTTAAAACAACGTAAACCAACTTTTGAGTACGATGGTTACGCGTACGCTATTGTACCAACGTCACAAATATTAGGTTTGGAATGATATTGTGGTTACTAAAAAAGGATCCGCATTCAGTTTTAACACTTAAATCCTTTAAGACTGACTTCTGATTTAATATGATAAGAAAACATAAGTCATGAAAGAAAGAAATCATGATTCTAGGTGAAGGGAAGACACAGCATTAGATAAACGCAAATATGAGTCTAAACCCCTATGAAAGTCTCACTGCGTTCTACCTGACAATGTAATATTTTGCATAAATAGATATACATGAGAATACAGTAACCGAACAGAAAAATTTTAATTTTAGAATTCATGTTATGGCTAAAATGTTTGTTATTGCAAAATATTTCCCTGAAACCCATAACCTAGTAAGTCTTTAACCCAAATATGCATTCGCCCAAATCCATTTATTGAAATTAAAATAAAATGTATTTGTTGCAACTGGAATCCGAAAGGAGGATGTGATTTTCATTCTGTTCGGAGCTTATCATTGAAATATAATTGATTGATGCTACTCCTACTGAGACTTTGATCCAGCAAACATAATTTCAAATTGTGAAGCCAACAAATATCAACAAAGACTGATCAAATCACTTTAGATAAATCAGCAACGTATAATTTCAAGTCCTGAGTCTGTGAGGATTTGTTATGTCTACCTTAAAGCATATATTTTATTAAAAAGAACAAACAGAAGTTAACTTACTATCTTCATCCCATCCTGCTTTAGTTAAATTAGCATTTATTTCTTGCCAAAACTCCGGCGTCGTGTTACTTGGTACCATACGGACAAGACGATCCGCTAATCTGAATTAGTCAAAAGAAACAAATTGTGAGAATTCTTAATTCATTAGAAAACAATTATGGTGATAATAAAAGCAAGAACATCTTAATATGTACATTTCCATCAGCTTATTGTTGAACATGTGTTCGCAAATTATCATGACTATTGACACAACTGTAAATGTTTATTAGAGAAAGGCAAAACCGACAATGAAGAGATAGTCATAAATTATTGCTTGAATATGAAGCTTTAGGAGTAACTCTCAAACTATCAGTGAATCATCTATTATGCCCCAGGAAAAAACTAAGTTTAAAACTATTGTTTTAATCATAGCTATCATTAAAGCCACAAATGTTCGCCAATAATGCCATTGCATTCTCGATGGAGTTAAAATCCTTAAAAATTAGGTTAATTATACCAACTTTGAAGTAAAGGTAGTTATTTTGATATAGTTGTGTTCTATAGGCTAGGTAAGTTATTCACCCACCTGAGCTAGAAATTCTCTCTGGTATCCCATAAACGCAGTTAACAGTCAAAATCGGCTGCATACCTAATGACAAGCAAGTAATACAGGATTGAGATTAACTGTGTGCAAAAACATCGCATGCATGGAAAAATTAATGCAGCAGGATATCCTGAAGATTTCGTCCTAATTTGGAATCCACAAAGTTATTTAATAATAATAATTACAGCTTTATTCCAAACAGTATTTGCGGTACAGTTATGGAATTTTCAGCGTGCATTACAACATATTGCATCCAATTACCTCATAAATTTTATAAGATTTTAAAATCAAAATGTAACAGCCAGAAAAAGGTAAATAAAAAAATAAAAAGAACAGCGTTGCGTTCACATTTTAAACAATGCACCACAGGATATGAAGTATAATATTGGTGTGTAATAGATGAGAACAACAGTGTAATAGTAACGAGGAAAGGAAAACAAAAACTAGTGGGACTATTTGTTAGAGTGCCGCAGTAAGTTTATCGTGTCATACCTAACGGATTTCTCATCACATAACAGCTGTGCCAGATATGGTATTGTGGAGCTTTTGTACTTGGTAGTCCTAGCATATAGCCTCCTAATTAGAAAAGTGGTCGCACCTTATCACGAATACTAAAATGTTGGAGATCATTGTAGATAAAATCCCGATTCCTTGACTAAGTTACTTATTAATAAAATACCGAATAGACTTTGATTCACACTACACCGTCTTCGTAGACCTAAATAACTGATGGATGCGGCACAATTTTCATTAAATTTCCCGTTAATACATATGCTTTGCGATGAAAACTTTGAAAATAATAGCAGCCAGAGGCAAACAAAATACATTTTAGATAAAGCAATAAGAAGACGTAATTTGTCTGAATCGTGTAATGTATTTGCGCAACACATTTCGAACAATCTGATCACACACGGACTTGTCATAGGAATATATATATATATATAATTAATAAAGAGGTAAGAGGTGAGAAAAATAGACTTAGGTCAAGTTAAAAGGACATATTCAAGATCAAAATAAAAATGAAGACCACTAAACCAAATAGCAGAGGTAATAGTACATCTGCTATGGTATCAAAACAAAATTTACCAAGGAAGGTTTAATGTGATGACAAATTGTTTTTGAACGCATAAAGGTGGCTTGAACTTTCTAATTGCTAGGGCTTCTACAAACTTTAGGATACGCCCCAAACACGTTTTATAGATAGGTTTAAAAGATCTGTTAACATCAATTTTATGACCTGTCTCTATAATATGTTTCGCAATAGAAGAGCTAGGTCTCCTGTTCTCACCGTTAATAGGTTCTGATGATTCCATTTGTTTCTGGAGCCATTTTGGAATATGGGACATCAAAGCAGCTTGATAACTAGACAAAGGCTGAACGCTGCTGTTAAAAAGACTTTTTATGCAGCTAATATCATAATATTAGAGAATGTAAAGCCATTATATCTATCTAAGCCCTTCGAACATGCGAAAAATGACGTCACATCCCACTGTATTTACCAATTTGAATGTACGTGTGGACACACATACATAGGGAGGACTCATCGATCTCTGCAAGTAAGGGCTTCAGAGCATATTCCAAAATGGCTCCAGAAACAAATGGAATCATCAGAACCTATTAACGGTGAGAACAGGAGACCTAGCTCTTCTATTGCGAAACATATTATAGAGACAGGTCATAAAATTGATGTTAACAGATCTTTTAAACCTATCTATAAAACGTGTTTGGGGCGTATCCTAAAGTTTGTAGAAGCCCTAGCAATTAGAAAGTTCAAGCCACCTTTATGCGTTCAAAAACAATTTGTCATCACATTAAACCTTCCTTGGTAAATTTTGTTTTGATACCATAGCAGATGTACTATTACCTCTGCTATTTGGTTTAGTGGTCTTCATTTTTATTTTTGATCTTGAATATGTCCTTTTAACTTGACCTAAGTCTATTTTTCTCACCTCTTACCTCTTTATTAATTATATATATATATATATATTCCTATGACAAGTCCGTGTGTGATCAGATTGTTCGAAATGTGTTGCGCAAATACATTACACGATTCAGACAAATTACGTCTTCTTATTGCTTTATCTAAATTCATAAAGGGAACTAACTGTTTTAAATTTTTAAAGAGAAATACTTTTTGTAATTTTCACTTATAACATATTCACCAATACATTCAGGATATAATTATGAGTGTTTTCCCAAGGAAATATATCAATGATTCCCAAGGAAATCTTACAAAAGTTGATGGTGGTGACGTAATATTAGTAACTCAGTGAATTCAGAATGACGTAATGGAGATTTTCAGTATTCCAGTATTCTGTTGACATAACTGGATTGATGAGTCCTCATTGGTATACTATTTTAATATCAAAACACCTACATTTTTTATTTTCTGAGGACTTCATACTACAAAATCCAAGGACACATTTTTCGTATGGAGGATAAGCGAGGTGGATTTCCATGTTTTGCAATTCTTTAATATTTTTTATCAGACTAAAAGACACTACATAATTAGTAATCACCTCAGAGTTCTACAGTTACAGGAGAACTCAGAAATTCTACTGGCAAACTTTCAAAACTATATTTCATGTTCTAAACTCTGTGGGAGGGAAAACGAGTATATAGATGTGAGTCCTGCTGAGGCACAATGAAAGGAATATCGTAACGGAGCCAGGATCCGGACTTGATTATTGTTCCCCGTATTTTAACAATACAGTATGGGAATACCCTATCACATCATGAAGGGGCGTAGTTCCTTTGCAAAATACAACATTAGAGTTATCGTTTCGCAATAGTTTTATAGCTACTACCTAACTTTATTAAACCTTATCAAGTATTGGTTGTCTAGGGATTTTGTTTGATTGCATGGAGGATTTCACCCGATCCAATGGGTCCCAGTGGTTCAATGGTCTACGAGCTCGCCTTGTAACCATAAGGTCCTAGATTCAAACCCCCGTGAGTGCGTACTACTGAAGAGTCCCAAACTAGGAGGAAACAGCTGTCCAGTACTCCCAGGTTTAACAGTGGTTCTCTAACTGATGTCAGCTCATGGTGAAATCCTCCATGCAATAAATCTTATCACTTCGTAAATAGATAATAATAATGGCAAAGCTTTATTTAAGACAGTATGCGAATATACGGTACAAAAATTTTCAGCGTATTCAGCTCCAAAGTACTTTTTTCTTCACACAGGTTTCACACGTAAAGTAATAATCTGAAGCATATCTTCATTTCGTTGAAGAATTGTACTTGGGAGCAAGTTAAATCATCGCGCAAGTTTATGTATAGGTCATTTGATACAACTGGACGATTAAAACAATAATAAATCCAGATGAAATTAAGCATTTTTTTGGAGGAAAGTAATTTCGGTAGCCCAATGATTTAAGCAGGCCGCCTCAAAAAGATTAAAAGATTAAAGAGTCCTCAAAATTTAAGAACGTACATTACTTACCTTGTCGGTTTGGAGTACGCTTTACCAAGTTTATGATTCTCTAATTCAAGGTTTGTATGTCGACATATCAGTGCCTGCACGGTGTACTGATCCTGGTGAAAATCGTATGGAATGTACAGTAAAATATAAGAAAGCGAGTAGAGTTTAAATGTTTCATAACTTTACTACTCGTGAGTAGCATGAAACAGAAGGGAAAAGTTACCAAAGCTGAAATTAGTACTGAAGCTACTGGTGATGATCGTATGCACCAAAATCAACAAAATACTTTTTCCACAACAGTCAAAAGTAACATTTATGATTAACAAGAATTCCATTTCTATACATTTTAAGATTCGTGTGTTTTCCGGTCATCAACCAGAATACTTTACAATCCATCAAGATTAGATGCCTGGTCCATACGAAGAAGTAATTACCTAAATTGCACAATTACTTTAAATTCACTAGGTGATTTTGCAGTTAACACTCTAGACCATTAAGTCCCAATACGGAAATTATCAAATTTCAAAAGTTGCTACAGAATATCAGACTGGGAATTCGTTTTTCTAAATGGCTGACTAGATACATGTTTAGTTAGGTTCCAACTGCTAAAATACGATGTTTACACCGCTACAACTCAGTGTTTGGAAATCATGCAGTTTATTTAAACCACTTAGCTATCAACTGCTTATTACTAATTTTTATATACGAGCAATGGGGAATCATTAAAACCGGGATAGATGATGCTTCATAAAATAAGAAACAGTTAGTCTTTATTAGTCTGTGACCGAGGTTCCCAAATCATATGTTTGTGGGTGCGTACTGTGAAGAGTCCCGAACTAGGACGAAACAGCCATACGGTACTCTCAGATTTTCCAGTGGTTCCCTAAGTGATGTCAGCTCACGGTGAAATCCTCCATCCAATCAAAAAAAATCATTACAAAACCAACATTTGATATTTGAATATTCATAAGTTGTTTTAATGATAATGCAGTCATCAAAAGATCAATACCTCACTTGGCTGATTGTAAAGAGTACTGTGATTCCGGATAAACACTTAAAAATTTTCCACAGTTTACTAGCTGAAATTTACCGGCCTTCATGAAAAATCCTGTGAACGTTGTTAATTTATACTGAGATAGGTGATAATAGCCGTGTAGTTTGTTACCGTACCCGACTGCAAAAATATAAAATTGGCATACAAATGAGTCAGTATACCATTGATCCCAACCAAAAGGTCTGGAAAAGTTAGGAGGAAAACTGACAACAGGGGTCGGCACTTCCAAATGTGAATTTAAATTTGAAAACATATATACAGAGGCAAGAATTAGGTCTCCGCCATATTCCATGACAACTTGGCGTACAAACATAAAAATACACAATAATCAATTGAGTTCTATTGCTTAGCATTCCCCGGTTTTAGATTTCATTGTCTTAAATTACATTTTATCCAGGATAACTACGAACGAATGTTAGGGAAACATAGTGATGTTATTTTGATTCTTTACGTTAACCATCTCTAAATATCACAGTTCATTTAAACTTGTCTGATACGTAAGTACAGTTCTGTTTTCAGTTGGTCTTGAAATGAAAAGCATCATGTTATGACAAATTATCTGCGTTCATCATTACTGTCACTTCAACATGCAGGAAAATACGACTGATCACTCGAATGCTATTGTCACATTAAGGAAGACACGAAAGGCTGGTTGAGAAAGTAAAGGTTTATCGCTCCATGAAAAGGCAATTTTACTAGAAAATTCAACTGATTATACAGATGCTTCACACGACCAATCAGTTACTAGTTTAAGGCACAAAACGTTATGTTCTAAATGGCTGGCATAAACCAACACAAGTCTAACGACATCACCTTTAATTCACATCAAACACATCAAATTTACAGATGCTGTGGGAAACAATGACTTATAATTTGTCTCCTCTTTTCCTAAAAGTGTTTAATTCAGTTGGATAGATCCAACAGAATTGAAGCATTTTTCTACAATGCACTGAATCAGACTTAAAATGTTTTGTTTGAGAAGATAATCACAAATGATGTGCGAATGGTCAAAAAAAGATATATATATAAATATATTCATTACAAAAGAAGATAATTTATTGGGAATCGCTCATAATTTCTTAATTACTTCAACTTGTTTTGAAATGCCTGAGATCTAGCACTGCAGATCTCCGAATACTGAGTAGTTGGCGAAGTATCTAACTGAAATAACTGGTCAGTGAAATCAGTGGAAAATATGTTATCCATGAATAGTTGAGTTAAACAGATAATATTGCAGGACAACAGGAACAGATAATCCATAGTACAGGAAAGAAAATAGAAAAGTTAACTTCTGTCTGAGATATCTGAGTCATTTGGTGACAAATTTCCACTACGACAATGACTAAAAATGGATGGCTAAGGGGAACACAACTGGGTTACTTAGACGGTATGGTAATTTCCCTAAGTTTATATGACAGAGTCGGGGTCTGTTTGAAATTTGGGCTACAGAAAAACTCCATCATCATAGTTCATATAATTTCTCTCGCTTACTTTTTTTAATCAATTAAAATATAATCTCTCATAGTAATATTTAGCCTCATGATCTTTAAAAATGTTTATAACCCGCCGATTCGCAAGTTTCTACTAAACTTGAGAAAAGGCCTAATTGTGAGCGGTAGCGTATTCCAATACATGAGACAGCTGTTCCTGCAATATGTCTTTGGGTCTCAGAATGTACTTCTGAACTTTTTATAATTGGCTGTCAACCAAATATCGTGCATACCTTGGAGACACAAAGGAATATTAAAATGGGTTGATTTGAGCTTCTCGCTAGAAGATCTATTGCCAATTAATATTTTATTTGACGATCCTTAACGGAAAGAAAATATCATAAAGTAAACTCCGCTGAAATTCCTGTAAATTATATAAAAGTTATTATTATTAAGTGACTTCCAAAATAAGAGAAAAAAATTAATTCAGCAGAAGTATCTGGTGACGACTACCGAAAGAAATACATCTGATAATTACCGATACGAGAAGTAAATTGTGCAAATACTTCACCAATCTACTGTATTTAATAGTGAATGAATAAATTTCTATTTCATATAAGTGAGTGTAAGCAACTGAGGTAAGCAAAAAAAGGCTTACATTTACTTCTGTGTAGGTGTGTACATTATTTAATGTGAAAATTTTGGCATTACTAACCACTAGTCAATGTAATATAATGTCACACACACAATAAACAAATGCGAATACTACTAAAAAATAAAAATTCTCAAATTCTTTCAGTCTAAAATAGTCACAAAAATAAATCATTGTTTTTGCATAGATTCTTGTACACATTCTTTTCTGAAAAAAAAACGTTTTGGTGACTTCATATTTTAAGATGGTTACGAAAACTAGGTAGAGAATGAAGAACAACAAAAACCTAATTGGTTATTTTAACCAGTTAAATGATTGTTCGATTGATTTCTGTTGGTTACCAGAGTAAAGAGTACGCACAGTAAGGGTAATAATCTTTTTTTATAAAGAGGCACACGAGTTGTACAGAAATCTCACTGGATTATTCACTTAAATTAAGGATTTTTGAACAAAGGAAGAAGAACATATTGAGCGGAATAAAATGACGTCATAACACTTCTTTGGATCCTCTCAATTACGTAAATCTATGATCAACTTAGTGTAAATATATAAAATATATGTTGTAGGGATGATGGATAATAATATCACATGATTAAATGGCATAATAGAAACCTTGGTTAAGCTGATTAATATATATGGAAATAAATCAAAATTATTCTAGAATTGCTAGCTGATAGAGGTGTAAATTTAACGATAAACTTATGTAAGGGTCAAATAATTTAGTTGAACAGAGGTTTGATCAAGAGTACAAAGGAAGACAAAATTAAGGTATGGAATTACATTGTCAAAACAAAATATAAATTAATAAATTTGATTGAAAAACAATCAAATAACGTAAAGTATATTCACCCAAGTAAAGCGAGATTATCAACGCTTTCCTCTTGGATGCGTGAATATGGCTTTAATCGTCTAATGACGATCGCTACAGTGATACGTAGAAAACTGCAGCAACCTTGAACTTTAATTACCTTAGAGGATTTTAATAAAAAAAACCCTCATGATCACTGTCTAACACATGACAAGCAATCTCCCTATCAAGCACTTTTGCACCTTTCAGACTCAAGTTGCTTTGAATATGTTCAGATGTGTGGTGACGAATCCTTCTTTCTGTTAATCTGATGTATGTATGAGAAGAATACTTGAATGTTTATTTGAAAATATAGAAATTCGATATGTCCGAAAACGTCTTTCAAGAAGGGGAACTAAATTCACGATATACATTAGGAGTGCTTTAAAGAAGTTGACGAAAGATGCCTCAAGAACAGAAGATGCGATATTCGAGAAGTTCCCATACTGGTTTATAAAAAAATATGTAACCAGTTATTTCCAAAATGTGTACACTTGCGTTGATATACGCCATAGAATTCATAAAACTAATCAAAAACTGATGATTATTTTCAAGTTAATGTTTTAAGTTATGTGAGGTGTAATACCGAAGGGAATTCACAGGTACATAATAGACCTACACAATTTCTTCAGTAATTCCACACAGCATATCCTTCCATAAAATAAATTCTAACACGAGAATCAAATCTGGCTTTTCTATTCCAGGACATGATTCTTACTAGAAGACCAGATAACTAAATCTAAAGGTCAATATACCAAAAGCTTATATGGACTGGACGGTCCATTAATTTCCAAACACATATCATACTTGACGAGGAACAAAACATAATAGGCTCAAAAACTCGAAAAAGCTACTGGGAAGATACAGTAAAGGCTGGACTGAAATATCAATCTGATACCTTATGGGAAAACTGTTATCCGCTTGGGTACATTAACAGAGACATGAAAATAAGCCAACGTGTTCTAAGAAAACCCTCGTCAAAAACAGGGTGGATCTCCTCAAAATCTACATTTTCATGGGCATCCAGTCAATAAATTTCAGAAATTCCCTGGAGTAGTTTGAGTACTGAGTCAGAGTGAATCATTATAAAATTACTTAGAATAATCCTACCGTGTTTTTAAAGAAATCTTGTTTCGATCTTTTTTAAACACGCCGGGATTATTTTGAGTAATTTTGTAACTACCTTTCTAATTACCTCAAAATAATATCTGAGGTAACTGTGTCGCAAATATCATTCTTCAGTAGGCAGTACATCGATTCATTTATCAAGAATAAGAAACTGTTTTTGACCACCTCAGTGTGTCTTTATCAATTCACCTGTTCCTGTGGAACAATGTACACCGTGAGTAAATAGCATAAAGTCAGTAAACGCATTTTGGAACACTGGCTAGCCTGAAAAGTAAGGCAGAATGCCAGTAGTTCCATCCTAAACTCTGAACATTAGGCACCCCTGTATGATTGCTTCACGGTGTTACAAAAGTCCCTCAATGTCTTCCGACAGAATCAAATCGCTGGCTATTAGGAACCTGAGACTGGAACTCTGTTTTCAAAAGCAGTCCATACACTCACTTACTTTGTCACGAACACATTCACATTTCGGTCGTTTTACTTCACCGTCTGGTGTCTTAATTAATGATGTTTGTAATTATTTTATAATTTATTAATATAGCTATAACTGGCGGCCTGACTAAACCAATGGGCTATCTGAATTACCATCCAGCAAAATGAATCTGCTCTTCTCATTTCCCTCTTATTTTATTCTTTCAGTTATATCTTTGTGTTGCAGCATGAGCTCATGGAAATCTCCAGCCAACCTCCAACGTACCTCTATGAACTTCAAGAGTTATATGAGGGAAAACGTTTCGCAAATAAATGACTCATTTTTCAGATAGATCGATGTTGCGTCATATGACCTACTGCTGATGAATATTTTACTTGAAAATTCCACACGGAAGTAATCACTTTATAGGTAATAACACTGAAAATGATGTTTAGAGTATAAATATAATTTCCAGAATACAGCTATTATTATTAACAATGATACATTTCTAATAATGTTTTTACATAAACACTTTTCTATATTTTCCCTGGTTTCTGTGCATCTAGATGTATTAGGTCATTTTTCACACATATTACGACATACCCGCTTCTGGATTTTAATCCCTACATCTTACCTCTTATTAAGCCAAACATTGAAATAATAGTTTTTTTAAATAGTTAATTGTATTTGAATGGTTTTACGAATACTCTGTTGATTGTAGACACGACTGTACAGCTTCTGAGAATGATTCGTCTAAAAGAATATTTTCACTGTTACATCTTTTATTATGAAACAGAATCCCATGACCACTTCTACTGTTTAGACATTAAATTCTCAACTAAAATATGTTGTTTGCTTGAATTTGTTGCACTTAATCTGTAATCATAATACGAATAATTTTCAATTTTTCTGGTCAGAAGTCTAGTAGACTAATGGAGTGTGAAGACAAATACTTGCCAACAGTATTGGCTGGAGGTGGCGCTAGAAACTGTCAAATGATAGAATTCATGGGCCGATGAATATGTTCCAGTGGATAGATGATCAGCGAGATCGCCCTGTAACCTGAAGGTCCTGGATTCAATCGCAGGTGGGGTCGTGGGAGCGTATAGCCAAATATACCAGAATAGGATGAAACAGCTGTTAAGCATTCCCTGGTTTTCAATCTTTCTCTAAGTCATTTCAATAGCTGATTTTAAAAAGTTGACTTTATTCGAAGAAATAGTGATCATTATGATAAATAAGAGTGAAAAGCACCACTCAAGACTGTGGTACGTTTCGATTTCCTTCTGATTAAGTAATGCACACCGACAAATCCTTATTCATAATTCTTTTACTTAGCAGTCAACATTGTCAAGTTTTTTTATGAAAACTCTGAAAGAGTTAGAAACAATCAACTATTTTTCTCTCTCATTATTTCCAGCTAGTGCAATAAATAACTCAGGTAAAGTAAAAACATCATAGAGTCCGACGGTTATAAGTGTAAATATAACTCCAATCTAAAATCGACAGCATGAAATGCCTATTTCCAAGTAAAATAACTGATTATTTTATTTCTTTTCGTTGAGTCACCTTCGCCTTCAAGTCAGAAATGTGGCTTAGAGATTTGATATACTATGACTGTTTAGATAACAGTCCATTATTTTTGAAACTCAGCTATTCAATATAGAATTTGAGGACTTCATGCCTTCTACATGATTTACTCACAATTACTGAGTAAATGTTTAGCATAGTGTTCAGTTTGTGACTTTACCTCCAGTGCTTGATGTTGTCGGGGTTTAATATACTCCAGACTTGACACATAAAATATCTAAACATCAGCACCTTTCGAAAAGCTTGAATCATCGGTAAACGTTTAGAACTATTTACCCATAAAATTAATATTTGCAGAGAGCGCATATACAGGCAAAACTGAATATTTAGTACACAGAAATAGCTGAAGTCCTAAGGCGGTAAGAATATGCAAAACTCTAAAGAAAAAACTAAAAGCACTCACTAAAATAGAAGAATTCTCTACACACTGAACAGTTTTACCATATGCCATGTTAATGCGAAACTCGTGACTATAGGCTGTTCCAGACGGAGTGAACATTTTTGGGCTGGATACAGTATGAACTCTGAAACAAGAACATGAAACAGGTAAAACAGGATTGCCAGTTCTGATATATTTTATTAATACTTTATTAGCCATGATCAGAGAAATATTGGTTAACAACTATTTCTTCTTAAACCACCTTCTCTAGGGCCCCTTGGTATTAGAGTTTTCAACAAAATTATAGCTAAAAAAATAACCAGTGACTCAAAATACAACTCACTTATCACAAGGAACATTAAAGTGCTTTCATATTTCTAAGTGGTCTGTTCAACAGTAAAAGCAGACCTGGGGTAAGTCCAGATAATACAATGAGATTTACATTTACTCATAAGCTAAAACACTTTTATAAGCTGGAGAAAATGGTCATAAAACATGCTAGTACGAAAGGCGTTTCTTTAAGCCAGTATTGCCACTTCGCTAGTTAATAATTCCGATAGTTGTTTAAGAGTGAATATGTTTGTGTTTTTAACATGCAATATATTCATTTATCAGTATGCTAGAAGGGGGAAAGTAATTTCCAGTCTATGAACGTTAATGAATGTTTTGGTAGAAGTTACAATGCTCTTTATTGTACGTTTCTAGCAACCATTTGGCAGCGATCACTGCATTTATCTTCGGTGCGTTTTAGCTAATGAAATTTATGGCTGTGAGAAAGATTCAAACCCAAACTACCTGATTCAACATCGAGAAGTTTTATCGGTGTGGATACACAGTGGTGCATACTCCTTATAAAAGTAAATGTTAACAGTATATACTGCAGCTTCTTCGGGAGAAGAAATCAGAATTCATGTTTAAATGGAGAAGCTGCCGTAGAGGGAACGCGTAATGGAAGGTTAAAATTCTGAAAAGGAATGAATAAGTGACATGCAATGTAAAATCAAGTATTTCCAATACAAAATAGCTGACATCATTAAAAAATAGTGAATCAATTCAGAATAACTTCGGTTAAGTACTGATTCACGTTAAAAAAAAAGAGTTGGGCAGGCAAAATATTCGTTAAATGTAATCAACTCACTTATCAATCACATCACTTAGGTCATACTGAAATCCAGATGGTGTAGTTGGTCGTGTATCAGTCATACATATACTATCATTTGTTGCGATAGTACCAGATTCACAACGACGACAGGCTTCATCTACTGTATGTAAGTTAGATGCATCAGCGACTACAACTGAATTATCTGGACACTTTGTACAATTAATAACATTTAACTTTTTAATTTCATCAAATTTGAGTGCATAATAGAGACCAGGTGGACAACGTTTACACCTAAATGGAAAAATAGCCAAAAAATTTGAGGTCAATTATGATTCAATGATTAACCAACAACAGTGATTCAGCTTACCTTTTGATTTCAAGATAAAGATTGAGTAAATAATGCTACGTGAGAGACTTACAGACACTCTTTGGTAGTTTAAAAATAAAGTGACTGATCGCAACACTTCTGAAAGTGAACTTATTTTCACTAACCTTCAAACACAGAGTAGAAAGAAATTAACCCGCAAAAGTTTTGACTGCTGACAGATGGTTTTTCATATGACTTGAGTTATTAATTCTAATTTGTCCACAATTTTTGCAGCAACACAATTTGTGTCCTTATAAACCCGTCCACCCTATAATATCATATCAAATTATGGATAAAAAGGGTCAGAGACTAGTGTTTTCCATTAAAACTATCCAGTGAAAAAACGGTTGTACTGAGAGTTCGAATAATCATTTTATTGTAAACCATTTAAACGAAGATAATGATTGGCAAAAGAATTTCTGAAGATCTTATAGCATAATTATCTTGAGACAGCTAAAAGCATTTGGCTCAGCTCTCAGTCAAAATGTGAGCCAATGCAAAACTTTCAAGGAGACTGTATTTTCAATTTGTAAACAGTTAAACAGTCAACTTTGAAATCAGGAAAGGGGATTTCTTACTTAAAGAATATGTTTTTGTGGTAAGAAATCTACAGATCGTAAAATGGATAACAATAATAAGTGATTCGTTTGGAAATGTATTGCTTAATTTGGTCAGAGAACTTCTTATTGTCGTATTGAATTTTTACTTACTTTGAATGCTATCGTTAGGAATTTGTGCAAGCAGCATGCCTTTCGCTAAAAACAGGTTATTCTTATAACTGGCTTGCTGAGAACTGATCAGCCGGTCATCATAATTTTGTCCGATTAAATGATTCTAAATGGCTGAGAGAGTGCCCAATTTTTATAGACTTGAACTCATTGCTTTTCAAATAATAATCACAAAAACAATGGTTTCCAAGGTCAGTCTAGTCAGCAGACTGTTTGAAGTAACCATATAAACTTAATAAAAAACACATGCTTCATATCATATCATCACCTCATAAAATTTAGAGCATTTAGTTCCCCTTATGAATTTTGAAAAAGCAGTGAGAAGGCGCGCGCCTTTCGATTCATTGCGTTACTTTTTGCAGTAATTTATAAAACTCTCATTTCTCTGCTATTGCTCACCACGAAGTTCTGGAAATTATTGAATTCCGTTAACTTTCGAACGCTTAAACCCCGGATTTACCATTTTTGACTACTAATACCTATAACAGAGTTTTTGGACATTTGTATCTTTTAAAAACAACTCATATTTAAAATTGTATATATTATTGGATTTATATGTTCAAGTTGGCCAAGTCAATGAGTCTGTGATTTTGGTATCTTTTTAGTCAACTGTGCTGAACTATATTGCATGTTGTTGTATTGTATCGTTGTTGTCGCTTTTTGCCCATTTTACCGTGAATTTTTTTTTTTTTTTTTTTGATTACAGCTTGATTTCGCTGGTGTTGTTCTGATTGTTTTATCTCTTGTTATCTGATTTTAAGGGGAGCAACCCACAAGGTTGCTTCTCTCTAAACTATATCTTAATGTAACAATTCCTTTCCCAGGCGTGAGGCTAGCAACCCCACCCTGTAAACAAAATTGCTACAGAAAATTCAGCACGATGAACCTCTTTGCACCAAAAGAAAAAGTCTGTGTGGGGACATGGAACGTCCGCACCATGTACGAGATTGGCAAAGCTGGCCAGATCGCAAACGAGATGAAAAGATACGGAATTCAAGTACTGGGGATATGTGAAAGCAGATGGAACGGGAATGGACTCACCAAGTTGTCAACGAGTGAGTCAGTGATCTACTCCGGTCACCCAGAAGATAACCACACGCACACCGAGGGCGTGGCTATCATGATGTCACCAACGGCAACGAAAGCCCTGATACAATGGGAGGCGATCTCGTCCAGGATAATGACCGCCAGATTCAACTCCAAAGGAAGAAAAGTGTCAATTATACAATGTTATGCACCCACAAACAACGCAGACCTCGAAAATAAAGAAGAATTCTACAGACAACTACAGGCAACAATGGACAATACTCCAGCCGGAGACATTAAAATACTAATGGGAGACATGAACGCCAAGCTCGGACCAGACAACACAGGAAGGTAACTCATCATGGGTAGAGAAGATCTCGGAGAAATGAATGAAAATGGAGAACTCTTCGCCGACTTCTGCGCCTTCAATGAACTAGTGATTGGTGGCAGCGTATACAAACACAAAGATATCCACAAGGCTACATGGGTGTCACCAGACGGGCGAACCAAAATCAAACTGACTTCATCTCAATAAAACTCAAGGAAGTGGAGGCGCAGTCTACTGGACACAAAAGTAAGAAGAGGAGCAGACGTTGGCTCAGACCACTATCTCGTACAAGGGACAATCCAAATCAAACTAAAAGCTTTCAGAGAAGGAGGAGCTGCAGATAGACCACAAGCCAAGTTCAACACTCAAAAGCTGAAGGACCAGGCTACAAAGGACATCTTCACTGCAAGCATAAAGGACAAACCTGAGACACAAACCAACACTAGCGAAGAGGTCGGCGTCAAAAAGCACTGGCACAACTTGAAAACGGTGTGGAGTCAAACCTGCACGGAAGTTCTAGGCAGAAAGAAGACACAGGACAAACAGTGGCTCACTACGGACACTTGGAAACTAATAGAGGAGAGAAGGACAGTGAAACAAAAGATAATCCAGTGCACCGACGAGCAACAAAAACAGGATTTGAATGCAAGCCACAATACGCTGAACAAAAGAGTAAAGAAGAGTGCCAGGGAAGACAAAAGAAAATATTATGAAGCCATGGAAGTGAAGCAGAACAAGCTGCAGGCAAATGAGACCTCACCACACTCTATCAAACAACTAGGCACCTACTGGGCAAAAGTTAGACACAGATTAAGCCAGTAAAGGATGACAATGGATAGTCAATCACCAAAGAAGTGGAGCAAAGAAAACACTGGTTTGAACATTTCAAAAGACTTCTAAATCGACCGCCACCTACAATGCGCCTAACAATACCAACAACGGAAGTAGAAATACCAGTGAACATCGACCACCCGACGAAATCACACGTCCTGAATGCAGTCAAGATCCTAAAAGCTGGAAAAGCAGCAGGACCAGATGGAATCCCAGCAGAAGCATTGATATGGACCCAGAGACAACAGCGCACTTGATGACGCCATTGCTGGAGAAGGTGTGTAAAGAGGGAAAAGTACTCGAGGATTGGAAGAAAGGATACTTATTCAAACTTCCAAAGAAAGGAGACTTAAGTCAATGCAAAACCTGGCGCGGAATTATGCTTTTGTCCATCCCAAGCAAAATACTAAGCGGCATCATCCTGGAGAGAATCAAACAAGCCAAACTGGATGAAAAACTTCGACCGGAACAAGCGGGATTCAGGAGAAACAAGTCATGTGTTGATCAAATCGCCATACTACGCATCATCAATGAACAAAGCTTGGAATCGCAGTCACCTCTCTATCTCAAAAAACTTCATCGACTTTGAAAAGGCCTTCGATAGTGTACCGTGGATCGAGAGGTGATTTGGCAACTACTTTGCTACTACGGGGTGTCATCGACAATTATACATCTCATCCAACAGTTATACGACGATGCTGCATGTCAAGTAATCCACAACGGGAAACTCGCGGAGTCCTTCGAAGTGAAGAGGGGAGTAAGACAAGGCTGCCTACTATCTTCAATGATTTTCTTGACTGTGGTAGACTGGATAAGGCAACAGACAATGGGCAACAAAGAGAAGACAGTCATAAAATTGACCCACACGAAAAAACCTACAGGATCTGGACTTCACATATGATATATATCTGATTTCCCACAAACCGGAAGATATGCAAGTGAAAAGCAACAAGTTGGCAAAAGAAGAAGCATCAAAGATGGGACTTCAGGTGAACATAGATAAAACAGAGGTGATGAAAATTCCTGGCTAACACCAGCAGCAAACAACAACAACAGACAGCAATCAGCAAAAATAAATGGAAGGAACCTTAAAGAAACAACCTCCTTTACCTACCTACAAAACTGGGAAGCATCGTTTCAACTACAGGCGGAACTGACGAGGATATCAAAGCAGGAATCGGAAAAGCAAGAGAATCTTTCATCACTTTCAAGTCTCTGTGGAGGTCAACAGCACTCAGCATCAAAAATAAGATCCGGATTTTCAACTCCAATATGAAGTCAGTGCTACTTTATGGGTCAGGGACTTGGCGCGTCATGAAGAGCACCTCAAACAAACTACAGGCCTTCATCAATAGCTGTCTTCGCTCAGTACTCAAGGTCAGATGGCCAGAAAAGATCAGCAACAGGGAAAAATCTCTGGCAATGAAACAACCAGGAACAGTTTGTGCAACAAATAGGAAAACAGGAAGAAATGGAGATGGATTGGCCATACTCTGAGGAAACCATCAAGTGACATCACAAGACAGGCTCTCGGGTGGAACCCGAAATGGAAGCGGCGAGTTGGTCGTCATTGCGAGAGTGACATGGAGGAGGTCATGTGAAGAGGAGATGAAAGCATATAGGTAGACGTGGAGCAGAATGAAGATGTTGGCAGAAAACCGAACGCAATGGAGATGTGTGGCTGAAGCCCTGTGTTCCCCTAGGAATTAAAGGATATAATAATAATAATAAATAATCGCAGATAAGAAGTAAGAAAGTGGGATAAAAACAAATACATTAAACGTTTCAGATAAATAACTTCTTCTTATTGTTGCGCCTCATGAAAGTTAAAATTTGAAATAGTAGCAAGATGTAACTATGAAAAGTGTCAGGCGAATAATTTGGGCCAGCTTTGCATTAAGTGTCTACTGTAACACAAAATCATTCAGTCTCATTCACTGGTATACGAAGGCTAAAAAATAAGTGACATTTACAGCACACACAATTTGGAATACTTTGCATTCAAAATGTC